CCTAGTCATTAAAGGATACATTAAACGATACTAATGCGCAAATAATGAGCTATGATACGGAGAATCTAGTGTTTTTCAAGTAACAGCAAGCAAACCTCTGCTCGTAAACTGTTACTTATCCTATGTGTCTAATGATGTCCTTTTCACAGTTTTAGTAATATGATATCTTGGAACGCTGTGAATAAGGCTCCTTCAAAATCAATTTCTGACATTGATATGTTCTTAAGAAATAGCATTCAGGCAATGGCGGCCATGGCTGCTATTGCGCATATCACATATCGTAAGTGCATGCTCAAGTGCTGACCACAACCCTTCTGCTCACTAACGTCTGTTAATTTATTCGTTCATCTGCCCAGTCTTGTACCCTTATTCTAAGGCTCTCTATGAATCGCACTATTGAATGTCTGTCAATCAAGTGAATGCCGGACAAGATTCGTTCACACATATCAAGACTGATTACGTGATGCGTATCAATTGCCAAGTTCATCGACAAGCATATTACTTAGAGGGATGTACATGATGACAGCGCGTATCAAATGTTAAATGCATTTAACAAAGAACATTATATGCAGCAGCAGCAATACGTTAATATCGAATAATTTGTAGCAGTGGTTTTATTCATCACGAGTGAGAATTGGTCAACAAAAAATGAAAAAGCAACTGATAAAGAGTTACTGACCTGAGGTTTCATTCCCGAAAACGGAGTAATACGAACTGGTGGCGGTAAATTGCTGTTCGTGACATTATCGTAGACTGAAATTGAAGACCTTTGAAATAAGTAACAATTAGAGCATATTATCAAAAGTGATGATAGCATTATTAAGTGCAATAATAAAGATAATACGAACCATCAATTGTCTGTACGAGATGCTGTAAATTCTCCATATTCTGGAAATGCACCAGGAGATTATTCGATGATTTTGAATTCGTTACACTGCTACTGTTAGCACTAACATCTTCAGTGGTATACTTCAACGTTCTATGTTCCATTTCCGAATCCGTTAGTGAAACACTGAAATTTCAGTCATCGGTTTTAATTCACCAATGTTCAACAATAGTTAAAACAAATCAGATAATTCAGATTGAATTCGACAATAAAATACACACTGTTCATGTTTTAGGAATAGGATTGAGCAAAGAGCAACAAAAAATTTCAATAAACGAACAATATAAAAAGTGCTAA